AAACAATTTCCTCCATCCATCCTTATATACCTTCAAGTTTTACTTTTATTACTTCTATTATATTTATGGTCCTGTTACTTCTCTGTTTTACTCTCTCGCATAAGTGCAAACACCAACTTATCTCCATGACGGCTGTAATCTTTGTTTTTCCCATCACCATATCATGTGAAGAGAACATTATATTCAATATTTTTAAACATGTTAGGATTTCTATACCACATTGCCAATACTGTGTGACACAAGCCAACGGGAATTTTCACTTGTATTCTTATTATTACTACCCTAGCTGTTATCATTATTATTGCTATTTCCATTTTATATGCTGCATGTTTTTGACACTACCTCTATTGTAAATGTGGAAAATTTTCTGTGTGATTAATTTTATTTATAATTTGAGGAAATTAGATGCAATATTGTGATTAATGCTGAAAATTCCATTCTGTATCACAAGTACTGTTTTTGGAATAAAGTAAATCATTATTATTATTATTATTATTATTATTATTATTATAATTTACCCCCCTTGCTGCCACCTCCTTCGGAAATTCCTTGTCTATAGTTACTGGTGATTTTAATTCTAGTGACCACAGCTTCCTAATTTCACTTGGACACGATAATATTGTCAACTTCCCGACTAGAATGGACAACACTCTTGATCTTGTTTACAAACGATGCAGGAATATTTGAAGCTCGAAAAAGAGCCCCACTACTAAATTCAGATCACTGTATCATAAGAATATTGCCCAAAGTATATGGAAAGCAGCACAAAAGGGTCTTCTCATACCTTGGAAAGAAAACACAACACAGATGTTATTCCCATGACAACATACTGAATCTAAGGTCCATGTTAAAAGACACAAACTGGGATCTATTTACTGAACAAGCTCTTGATAACACAATTGCCAACATAACACATTATCTTAATTTCTGTCTTGATGTTTGTTGTCCAAAAGAGACAATCTTCTTAAAATTCGATCGCTTCTCCTCTTCTCAACTCAAAAAGCTCCGCCGTGAAAAAGAAAGGTTGTTCAAAATGAAAAACAAATCTGGTGTTAAGAGAATGAACACTTTGATTAAGCTTGAATTACAAAGATTGAATGCTCTCTATAACCAGAAGTTTCTTTCATGTAAATCCCCATCAAATATGTGGAAGTTATTAAAGGAAATCACAGGTGGTAAGCAAATGTTGAATGATATTTCTGTAGATGTTAACATGCTTAATGAATCCTTCATATGTATCCCAGCAAATGTTATGATTCCTAACTCAAATAGTGTAAACAATGACTGCTTCTCATGCTTTAACACGAATGATGTCCTCAAGTGTCTTCAATCTCTCAAGCCTACTCAGTCCCTCGGTCCTGATGGTGTTCCTGCTGTTATCCTTAAGAAGTGTGCCGACATCTTGTGTTCCCCGCTAACTGACATTTTCAACGAATCGTTTTCCAAAAGTATTATACCTGAATCATGGAAAAACATCAAGATCGTTCCAGTGCCTAAATCTACAAGTGGACCTAATGTTAAGTTTAGACCCATTTCAATTACCTCACCTTTTTGAAAGTTATGGAAAGACTTATTTTACTTAATCTTGATCCCTCTTTAAAACCTTTCAACGACCCCAACCAGTTTGCTTATAAACATAGTAGGAGTACGTTAGATGCCGCTGTCGTCCTCCACCATAGCATAGTCTCTAGTTTAGATAAAGGAGCTAAATACGTTCGCTGTGCCTTCCTTGATTACACATCTGCATTTGACTCTGTTCCCAGGTCTCTCTTGCTAAGTAAGCTTGCTGCAACACAGGCTGAAAGCTGGACAAATAAGTGGTTGCATTCCTATTTTTCTGAAAGGAAGCAGTACACCGTCTACAATGGAAAATCCTCCACTACCTCACTTACTTTAGCTGGTGTTCCTCAAGGTGCTGTTCTTTCTCCCTTTCTGTTTCGTTTTTCTTACATGACTTGCCTCATTCTGATGTAGCCACTTTTGTTAAGTATGCCGATGACCTCTCGGTTTCTATGCCTGTCAACTCTCAGTCAGATTGTTCCAAATTAAATAGCTTTCTGTCGGAAATTAGTCAGTGGTCCTCTTCAAACGGACTTAAGCTTAATCCGTCTAAATGTCAGGTAGTCAATTTCACTTTCAGACGTAAATGTGACCTACAGCAACTAGTTAGCTCACATGGCCCCACTCTCATTGACGGCACAGAGGTTGAAAATACATCTAATGTCAAGTACCTTGGGCTGAGTTTTTCCACCGATCTTTCCTGGTCTTCCCACATCTTGCTAGTTACTAGAAAGATGTTTCGCTTAACGTTCTACATTAGGAAATTTAGGCAGTCTGGCATAAAGCAGTCTTTACTTTCTCAGTTTGTAAATTCTTGTATTCTACCCATCCTCCTTTACTGCTCCCCATTAGTCTTTCCTGGACTACTTAAGAAAGACTTTGCTTCGCTGAGAAGGGCACTAAAAGCTGTTAGTAGGGCAAGTGGGATATCGTTAAACCAACTGGTGAACACTATTGTAGATAGACATATTATGTCATGTAAGAAACTAGCGAATACAATATTGTCGGACCCCGAGCATCCTCTCTATACGCATCTATCTCCTTGCATTTCATCTGGTAGAACTAGAAGCAGCTATAGGAGGCTATATGCTAGGACTACCACAATACCATATCTGGCACAGCTGTTATGTGATGAGAAATCCGTTAGGTATGACACGATAAACTTACTGCGGCACTCTAACAAATAGTCCCATTAGTTTTTGTTTTCCTTTCCTCGTTACTATTACACTGTTGTTCTCATCTTCTACCACACATCAACTTTATATTTCAAATCCTGTGGTGCATTGTTTGAAATGAAAACTCTACGCTGTTTTTTTTTAATTTTTATTTATTTTTATTTTTTTTTTTTTTTTTTTTATTTATTTATTTTTTGATTTTAAAAATCTTATATAATTTATGAGGTAATTAGATGCAATATACTGTAATGCACGCTGAAAATTCCATACCTGTACCACAAATACCGTTTGGAATAAAGCTGTTAATATTATTATTATTAACATCACGAATTGCCAGAAATTAGATTTAATGAAGCATTCGGTTGTTTACCAATGTCTTAATGGTCTGCGAGATCCCCTAGTCACCAGAAGGTCCTGGGTTCTGCTACAATTGCACTGAACTGAATAAAACCCGTTGCCACTTTGTTATATCTGCGCTGCTATTTGTTGTAACGGTGATCAACTCGACTGGTAGGCTAATATGCCCATTTGCCCGTTTCACTTTCCGACTTCACCGAGCCACGTGAATATCAAAACACAAAGGCTGGCCTGTGACTGTAAGATATTGTACATATTTATTAGGAAACAAAACATTATAATAAAGGTTTTTTATATTTCCCAATGAATGAAAAACAAAACGATATTGTTTTTACTGACACTTCGCTATTTAATGCTAATAGCTTTCTCAAAGTATTATTAAACCGGAATTTACAAAATCTCAGCATATATATAACATAGTTAGGGGGTGAGAAAATAGACTTCGGTCAAAAAATGTTTCTCATCTCCTGTGCTTAATTTCAAAAAGTTATGACTTGTTTATTATTATTATGAAGAGGGGTGTTGCTTTCGATCGTCAGTGGGAACAAAATCACTGACTCATTGGCGATTGCAGGTACTTTCAGCTGACGAGTTCCAAAATAACAATGAAAAGTAATCCGTGGCGTATCACTTCTGGACTGAGAACATAACGTCTACTGTTCTGTCAACTCGATATTGACTGGATGTACTGAGAGCCTAGTTACTGTGTAACATGGAAACGTGGGCTATGTATAGTTACCTTTTAATCTCTTTTAAAAGGTTCTGAGGGTCATGCAGTTAATATCGTCGTCAAATGTAGTTTAAGATTTAACTGAGCGGAAGCAGAGTTGCATTTCTTCTTATATTATTGAAAATAAGTATAAACGTAGTAGGGAATTTTTGAATGAGTACAACAAGTAGTGATATTCCAATCATTGTACTGTAACCACTTAACAGTATTTTCTTTTTTTTTTTTGAGTTTTGTGTATGATTGGCCATCAGTGGTGTAGCGGTAGAATGCTCGCCAACCATGCATGTGTTGTGGTGTCTGATCTCCTACTGACACACTCCTAAATCTCTATTGAACGACGGTAAGCGCGATAAAGAGAGTAGGTTGGGTTTCAGGCTAGCAAAACTAACACAAAGTGCTACAGAAACTTCAAAGCTCAAGCTGAAAGAAAGCCCCCTGTGTTCTACTGGAGACTCAAATGGACTAAAAAGATTGTGTGTGGGGTGTTTATCGACGCTCAATTTTTCTTCTCCTGAGATATGTGTTCCGAATAGATAAAAGTCTCCTACGGACAAATTTTCACAATTCTTCTAACATCTCAGAATACAATTATTAATATTGTAGATTCATATGCCATGAAGGTGTATAATTGATTGAAAATGTCACACCCAATTATATAATGCATATTGTTCCAAGTCCAGTTTTCAAATTGCATATTGACCGGATTCAATAGAAACTTTTCTTTTTTTAATTGTTGATTATTGGTTGATTCTGAAAACCATCTAGTAGTCATGGGTGTGTCGGTGGGGATGACTTCGCATCGATTAGAGATGGATAGCCCAGAATGACATACACAATAATACGACATAATCTCTCATAAATTTGTAAATGTTCTGATTTCAGAGTAAAACAGTTAACCGAGTTATGTACACACAGATTTCGCTCAATTTTCTATTGAGTTCAGAAAACGAAGTACCTTTGTCAAATAAAGCGAAATTATAATTTGAACAGTGCGCCGGAAGATATTTGTTTCGCTTTCTAAATAGTAAAACAAAGTTCACTGTCCGCATTATTTATTTAGCAGCCTGAAATGTTTCATATACCTGTAGTTGTATGTCACACTTTAGTCAGATATTATGTGTTAATTGTCCACATAGAGTGAAATGAGTAATACTATTCATCTGTTTCATACTTTATAGGTAAAGGATCGAGGCAGCATAAAGGGTATGTTTGGTAAAGATTACTTGGTGACGACACTTATGCTACCAATCATCTGGTTCAGTGCAGCATTCTGTTATTATGGTATTGTTCTTTTAAGTGCTGAAATATTTCGTATTAGACACGCTTGTTTTGGAGGTAAGTTATTTATTTATTTACTTTTTTTTAACATGTTAATGACGTAATCTAGAAGATTTTTAGCTTCCATGTCTAATACATATGCAGATTTCCTGCTTTATTGTAGTGTGTTGATTTAAGTACACTTGATACTTAGTGACTAACAATCGAATCTAGAAGGCGTATGTCGTTGTGGATTCCACTGTTAGTTAGCATGCATTATATAATATCATTTTAAATGTTCCTGAAATATCATCGTAGCATCCATACTACTAGTAGCAAACATATGTTAATAGAGACGAAACATTTCCTTCCGAGAAAATCAGTGAACAGAAAAAAGAAAACTAACTTAAAAATGATTTGAGCGCATTTTTCTTCACAGATTGGCATCTGTTAGAGAACCATTGAAAAATAACCTTAATGGTTTTTTTTTCGGCATACTTCGGAACTCTTCAGCACTGTGGTCATCACTTCCATGGCTTCTGGAACATAGAAGCATCGGATATTGTGTCTACGTTCACCAATGACAATTATGTTCTGCATTTCATTTGTATCATCATTGAACAAAGCGTAGAATGGCAGTCAAACCTATATTTCTTCATCGATTTTGAAAAGGCTTTCGACAACGTCGATCGTATCGAGGAGTAATTTGCAAACTGCTTTAAATCTTTAAATATTCCTATTTTTAATATTAGAATATATATATATATAAAGGTATATATATATATATATATTCTACAAGCGAACAATATTGTTTTCACTTAGATCTTCAGGCTTTACTCAAACTTACATGGATTTATATATAAAAAATTTTAATCAATGACGGTGATTTTGTGGATCAACGTCATTAATAACAATGATTATAATGATAACAAAATATCAGTAATAAGGTTTATCCAGGTGCCGATAAAATCGAAGACGTACAAGCGAAAACCGATGAACTGGTCGAAGAAGCAACTGGCGAAGACAGGACTCCAAGTGAACATAGACAAGACGGAGGTGATGAAAATAACCAACCAACAACAACAACAGCAGCAACATACAGCGTCAATCACCATCAACGGGAGGGATTCGAAAGAGGTTACTTCATTCACTCACTTATCTAGAGAGCATTTTCTTAACTACAGGAAGTCGGAACGGACGAGGATGTCAAATCGAGCGAAAATCGAGTGGGGGCGAGAAACACATTCATCAACCCGAAACCAATCTGGAAATCTTCGTCACCCACTCAGCCATCATCAACAACAAAATTCCGTCGGTCGGATTTTCAATACAAACAACGTCAAGTCAGTCAGTTCTTCGATACGGATCAGAAACTTGGCGGGCGAGTCACAAAGAATATCTCCAACAGCCTGTTGCATGCAGACGTTCATCAACAACTAACTGTCTTCGCTGGCTCTATCCTGAAGATGAGATGGTTGGGCCGGAAAGAATCACCAACAAGAAACTTTAACTGGGAACAAACAAAGCAAGAACCAATCGCCAACCAACAAATATGCAGGAGAAAGTAGATTGAAATGGATCGGACACTCGCTGAGGAGGCCGCCGTTGGGTGACATCGCGCGCGCGTCAGGCCATTGGTCGAGTGGAAGCAGGGCGAAAGGGAAGCGGCGTATGGGTTATCAGTGCAAGGGTGACGTGGAGGAGATCGTGTGAAGAGTTGAGGAGTTGAAAAAGTATGGACTGGCATGGATTCCTGTGAAAAGTACAGCAGAAGGAAGACAGAAGCTAATGGAGACGTGCAGTTGAAGCCCTATGTTCCACTAAGAACTCAAGGGAGCAATAATAATAAGGTGGCGATAAGAATAACAAAGGTAGTAATATGTGTATATGTAGACAATTTAATAAAACAATTAGGTAAAATCTTAAAAGTTACGTAATACTAAAGGTGAAGTGGACAGATAATCAGAGTTTAAATAGATATCATAAAAATACGAAGAAGATGGATAATAAGAAAGGGTGGGAGGGTTTTGAATAGAATTTACTTAGGTAAGCAAGGGAGAGACAAAGGTAGTACAAACTTCTTTTGTATACAAGGACTGAAATTGTTCTCTCGAATTCCCATAGCTTCGGCTATGTGTAAAAGGCGGATTCAAATTCCGTTCAAAAGGCTCGATGGAATGCGATAGATAACTTTGAAGGCTCTATTTTTGTCCACTTGGTGACCGTTATCAATCAAATAAGCCAAAATAGAGCTTCTTATACATTTTATTTGACGTTTTCCGAACCATGGAGAAAGATGCTCATGAATGCGTTTGTTATGCTGTCTAGTTGTTCACCCTATATATCTTTCTCTACAGGAGCAACTAAATTTCTAGATGCAAATAGAAGTGGGACAGCTAGGTGGCTTGTCTTTCAATTGAGCAATCATGAATGTTCGGCTGGAAAATGACAAGCAAAGGGTGACGGTAGTATAGGTCCGTTTTATCGCTCTCGATAATCTCAGATGTAGGACTTCGCTAGCCAGGTCCCCATTAAATTGCATTTTCATGAACAGTTTTTTTTAACTGTTATCAGTTTCTCTTTATTGTTCCTGGTGTTCATGTGTCTCCTTACAAATCTTATAGGTTAACCCATTTGCACCAGCATATTTTGGATATATCCTAACTCATTTTGTAGGGAGTCATCTGTACAGATACGTCTTGCTGTACTCTTGTGACATCAGACCTATTTGACTTTGTATCGGATTGGTGCAAAGCTGAGGAAATATTGTCCATCAGATGCAGGTTTTCTATAGACATCTCTTTTAAGTGAACCATCCTTTCTTCTGCTCAATCGGACGTCAAGGAAATGTAGTCTACCATCGTGTTCTTCTTCAGAAGTGAAGAAGCTTGTCAGCTTTCACATCAAGAGTAATAAACGTATCATCAACATAGCGAAAATGAGAATCAATTTTATCTATTGCTTGTTTCAATGGACCATTTTCAACTTAAGCAAGAAAGAAATCTGCTAAATTTGGCCAAAATGGAGAACCCATGGAAATACCATTGATTTTTCTGTAATAAATGTTGTTGAATGTGAAGTGTACATTCATAGTACGCCTTAAAAGCAACTATTTCAGACTAATAACTGGAATATGACAAGGTATCCTATTATCACCGGTGATATTCCTAATTTTAGTGCGTTTGATTGTGCGGCATACCGTGGAAAGTGAGTGAGGAATGAGGAATACGTCCAACTGATAAGAATACTTTAGGTGATCTGAACGTCGCATGCGACTTATACTTAATGTCACACAAACTCGTACACTTACAGATGAAAACCAGCAAATGGGCAGAAGGGGACAGCAGTTAAGAAAGGACTTCAAGTAAACATAGAGAAGATGGAGCTGATGGAATTAACCAACCAACAACAATAAGCACCAATCACTGTCAATGAGAGATATGTGAAAGAGATTACTACCTACACTTATCTTAGAAACATCGTTTCAGCTGAAAGTGGAACTGATGAGGATGTCAAAACCTTCATCACTGTCAAATCAGTTTAGAAATCTGCTTCAGTCAGTATAAGGAATAAGAGTCGGATTTTCAACACCAATGTCAAGTTATCGACCTCGTCTGTATGGGTCTAAAACTTGGCACTGGCGTCACGAATAGCTTTTCCAACAGGCTACTTCATACTTTAATCAACAGCCAAGTTTGCCAGTTCCACACTGATTGGACACATCGGAGGAGACTGCTGAGTGATATTGGATGCCCAGACGCTAAAGGCACCCTGCATGAGAGACAATGATAGTGAAATGGGGGAGATCGTATAAGGAGGAGATAAGAGCCTGTGCACCCTCGTGAAGCCAGATGAAGAGGACAGCAGAAAATAGAATGTTATACTGAAGCCGCTATATTTCATTCAGAACCCAAGGAAACAACAATAATAGTGATTTCATATTTACCTAATTCTGTTAGCTCAAGATGTAATATGGGCAGTGTCTGTCTGTGCTGCAAACCTCACTGGAATCCACTTGTTTCTGTACCAATGTAGAAGCAGATTTAGTTTGTATACCTTCATATAATTTAATTCTAAAATTACAAAATACATAAATGTATTACCAAGGCCTTATCTTCCTTCTCTTTTTGCTTTAATATTAGAATATGTTCGAACTCCAGATTATCATGGTAACTGGAGTCAAGGTCATGTTCCGCCGCTTTTAGAAGCGCCACGTCAACTCGATAACTCTTGCTGTAAAGAATTGTCACATGATGATTATGTGGCTATGCTAGTTTCTTCGATTGGAGAATTTGTTAGTAAGTTTGATTAGTTCAGTTTATTCAATCTTTTTTTCTGAAGTTGATCAATTTTACGAGGATTTTGATTAGCCAGAGGTCAGCTCTTTATTGTAAACTGTTTTCATCGATGAATGCACTATAATTAAGCAGAAAAATAGCATGCCTTCATTAACTTTTAGACTGCTGTTGTTCAACTCATTTAGCCGAAATAGATTTTTTTTTACGTGTCAAACGTATCGTGTGTTGCGGGCTGATAATACTACTCAGTATCCAGACTAAAGTAGGTGGAGTGGGCGGACTCGAACCCATGACCCGTTCGCTGAAAGCTAGGTGCTTCAGCCAAAGAGTGACATCTTTTCAGACTTCTAAATTTTTGCATCTCCATTTCTTTAAAATTTTAACCAGAGATTTACCATGTTATTTTGTGTTTATTTCCTGTCGAACCAGTAGGTCACAACATTTCATAGGTGCTTGTCATCTTTACAGAATGAATCGTTATTAGTTGAATTCAGATGACATTAAAAGTCACTTTTGACTTATTACAGATTTAAAACAATCAGTTTCCTTTATGAATTTAGACAAAGTAAAAAGAAGACGTAATTTGTCTGAGTCGTGTTGCAATGTATTTGCGCAACACATTTCGAACAATCTGATCACACACGGACTTGTCATAGGAATATATACGTATGAAATCAATAAAGAGTTAAGAGGTAAGAAAATAGACTACTTAGGTCAAGTTAAAAGGACATATTGAAGGTCAGAATAACAGTGAAGATCACTAAGCCAAATAGGAGAGGTAATAGTACATCTGCCAGGGTATCAAAACAAAGTTTAGCAAAGAAGGTTTAGTGTGATGACGAATTGTTTTTGAACGCATAAAAATGTTCTAAACTTCCTGATTGCTTCCACAAACTTTAGGATACTCCCTCCCCCGAACACGTTTTATAGACAGGTTTAAAAGATCTGTTAACGTCAATTTTATGTCCTGTCTCTATAATATGTTTCGCAATAGAGGAGCTAGGTTTCCTGTTATCACCATTAATGGGTTCTGAAGATTCCATTTGTTTCTGGAGCCATTTAGGAATATGCTCTGAAGCTAGTTCTTACCTGCAGAGATCGATAAGTTCTCCCCATGTCAAATAGTATTTTATATTTTATCTACAAGACTATATGCTGATATTATGAATATTATTATTATTATTTATGAGTTGAAATGACGTATTAATAATTTTTCACAATTCTCAGCTGAATAGGATTTTGCATTCAGGCTACTAATTATGGGGATTTTTCTTTATGCTGTATAACGTAGGCTGTCGATCAAATAATGTTTTAGAAAATAATCCCGACATTTTGTTGTAAATTTGGCAAACTGTTAAATACTACCTAAGTGATAATTAAACAGTGCGTCAGTGGCACAGCTCACCAATTACACTTCATGTGGTTCGGTGTTCGATCCCCAGCCTCCGACTCACTCATTTACCTCGTTCTAAGCCTGTAAGTAGTAAGAATGACAAAGAGGGAAGGTTGGGTATGAATATATGCCAGCAACCCGATTCCGTAAAAAAAAGATTGCCACTGCTACTGGAACTCCGAAGCTTTCTAGCTTGAAGCTCCCTTTTTTTTGAAAATTTTTTTTATTCTTTTGGGTTCCAAGTGGAACATATGGTTTCAAGTTAGAGCTTTAAAGTTTCGGTAGCAACTTTCCCTCTTTACCGGGCTTCCAACCGTCTAAGCGAAGTAAAGAGGAGTGCGTCGGTGGCCGGGGATCGAACCCCAGATCATTGGCTTGGTCGCCCAGTGTTCTACACCACTGCACCGCCAACGCCAGCTGTACATTGAGAGTAGATTATAAGCGAAAATTACGTGATTATGAAAGGTTTATGTTAAAACTCAGTCAAACCAGTCAGTATTGTCTGGCTTCAATTATACGTGTATAGATGAAACTGAAGCTGAGATATTTAGTTACATAGGGCAATTCTCCCCGAAATGACACCTACAGGAATCATGCATCGTCTTACTAATGTCCATAAGTCTTTGGTGATGCAAATCATTAGATCCTGAAAATAAATACACTTTGCACTTTTTTACAATAGCTCAAATCTACTACCCTTAAAGATTACACAAAAATACTGAAGGATCTCAGGTTGTTTTTGTTTTTACATCTCCAATACTATTGAGTGTATTACGTGTACTTGTGAGAAATTCAATTTTAATGTCACTGTTTTCTTCTTTAAACTTTGGCGCCGTCAGATTACGAAAAAGCAGTAGCTCTTTATTAATCCAATTATCTTGTGCCAATTCTCCACCATTACTTCCTTCTAGTGCTTAGATAGCACAGTTATTTATGGCGAAAATGTTTACATTGTACCTTTGTTTTACTGAGTCATCATCATATATATTACATGGTGATGTAACTATTCGTTACTTATTTATTTTCATGTAGTGTTACGCAATCCGCGTGGTTTAATCGCCAATGAAATCTTGAAGTAGATCGATGTATTACTTCTTATGTCTTCGTTATACTGTTATCTTTTTCTCGACTGTGCATATATATATATATATATATATATATATTGCGTTATATTGTAGAGTATACTTAATGACTGGCTGATTTTCAACACAGAACTTTACCCAATAGCCATTGGTTCTTAGCATCCTGAAGAATCCACGCAAGCAGTTGATACCTCCTTAAGTGCCTGACCTAAACTAACTGCAATAAACTTTATGGACTAATACATGGTTTTAGTTTAGTCACCCCTGATTCTTATCCACCCCAACCGTATGTCAGCTGACATTTCCCATCGAAGAAGGTGATGGCTAACGGTGTTCTAGCCATCTCAATCGATGTCACTTCGTTACCTATCTTTCCACGCCGAGCCTCAGCATAGCTACCCACATTATATATCACTTAACCTGACTGACAGAATGCAGAGTAGTATACTCAGTGAATATATGTAGTTATAATATTGGAGATTGGACAGTTACACTGGTTACTAATCCACAGTACACCTTACTTTCTTTCCCCATATGCTGACGAGAAATTATTGTCAAGGGTGTAACAGGTCGCGTACCTAGACAGCACGTTAAATGACTTACATTTGTTACATTAGGGATGAATTGTGGTAGCTACACTAGTTGTTAACAGAATCAGTAAAGTGGTTGGTTTTAGCTGTGTGCCGAAAAATCTCATAAAACTTGACTACAGACAAATTCAAGCTCTTTAACTCATATATATATAGTATTAATGGCTGCTTCAGTTCATCTCATCACTGGGATTGACGTTGAATTTTTCGCAATGTTATGACTTTAAAAGTGTCTCAAACAGTCATGTTTTTATTATTTCTAAATAACAAAGTGGAATAGTTATGTTTGCTACGTGTGTCTGTTTTCCTGTAGTCTGTGTAGCCACAATCTGGATTTGATGTATTTTCTTTATTTATGTGTGTATTAATTTTTATGTTGAGTGTGTTGGAGCACTTACAAATCAATATGAATCATTTGATTTACATATGCTGTCTACTTACTATTATTATTATGAATTTTGTTACTAGACTCCATTGTTGTTTGATGTCTGAATAGACTCTTTTTCTGTCGTTATATTTACTTATATAATGCAGACATTATATGACCGGTTCATCATCTTCAATGAAGGATATTCATATCTCTCTCTCGCTCTCTGAAGTGGTTCAGTCTGTTGACTGACCACTTCACTAATTTGTCAAGTTGCATCAACCCTCACGCACTGACTGATTTCTGACGAAATCTCACCACTCATGGAAAAGGCTCCTCTGGCCTTCGCCAACCTACATCCTCTCTCGCCTAGATATCCATGATATCCGGCTATCGAAGAAAGCACGTGTGTACTGACTAGAATTTCGTTCTCTCCTTCTTTGTGCCTGTGAGACACGGCCATTGAAAATCGATATAAGGATATGAGGAGAAGAGAAGAGAAGGGAAGAGGCTGGTTAGGTGTTGTCGACCATAGGTGTGTGAGTTCTATCTCCCGTCTTAAGTGGTATAATATGCTGAGTTATTCTGATGTTAGGCGTAGAGTGTTAGGTAAGGAGGGGAAGTCGATCGATCAGCCTGCGAAGCTGCATCGACCGAGTTGGTTGCATGTTCTACGCCTATAATACCGATTCACCATCCCTCTCTCTCTCTCGACGACCAATGTTAGCTGACCTAGGATTAAGTTGGGAGAGATTGAATTTCAGGTGGTCAGAAGAATCTACGGCGTCAATCTATGAAATCTCTGACTGGCGTGTTTAGACAAGTAGGGGATGAATACTATCTGACTGCAGTCCTTGGATTTCTCCCAACCAATATTTGCAGCCAGTTGTTTTCGCATAACTCAAAATCGTCGATAACCACGCTGATGTATTCACTCCTACATTGTGTAAACACTCACTAATCTTTATACTATCCTTCCTAGTTAACTTGTCCATCTGCATTCATCCTAGCTAGTTTCTCTTGTGAACACGTTGAGCAGAAATCTTCGTGTGTTCGTCGTGAGACTCGCCTCTGTGAAATGTGAAGCTTCATCTATTGAGCTTGACAGGAAACGTGTTTTGCATGCCAATTCATTGCCTCCTTCGACAATAAATGTCACCAGGTATTTGATTAGTTTGGAAAAAAATTGAGGATTGATCAAATCAAAACCCGGAACCTATCCATGAAGTCTTCCACCACGTAGGGTTGTGTAGACAGCTTGATGGGGTTCTTCCAGATGCTAACTAACATGTGTTACCCTTTTGCTGATGTCTGAAACTGTTCACTATGGAAGGCGTACATTTGAATCACAGTTGAATTTGAATAATAAATTGTTTGTCATCAGAAGAATAATCTCTTATGAAAAAACTTATCTATCCACTGTACACAGCTTGAAAGGCTGAATACATACTGATGTGGTTACATGGAATATTCTGTAACACAACAGCTAACTAGTTTTATCAGTTTCGTCTATCTTCTAATCAAAACCCACCTCAACCTTTTTCTTGCCTCCAGTGGATTCCACTGCTAGCCACCATCCACCAATTGTGTACAAATCAAATCCCCAGACATCGTCGAAGCATCTGCACAAGAAGCCGACATGTCAACCTGAGACCGAACACTTCGGTCCAATCAATCGACGGGAAAATCAAAAATTCAATTCAATAAATGGTTCAAGTATTGGTTTTGTAAGGATTTTGATTGATTGAAGGATTTCACGATGAGCTGACATCACTTAGAGAACCATTGGAAAACCAGCACTGGAGTACTGGATAGCTGTTTCGTCCTAGTTTGCGTGACATTTTAAAGCCCACATTATAACGCCTATTTGTTCTCTTCGTCAACATTAATGTTGGCTGTCGAGTTGGAGGACAGATACTCACCGATGAAGTTGGTTAGTCATCGTGCTATATTGTGAATTGGCAGAAGTTAGAATTCACGGGCTGGCCATTGGATCGGGTCCCAGTAGCTTTATGGTCTACGAGCTCGCTAGCCTTATAACCAAAATGTCCTGGGTTCTAACCTCGGTGGGTGCATACCGATAAGAAGTCCCAAACACTAGGACAAGAGAAACAGCTGTCCAGTACTTCGGTGCTGGTTTTCCAATGGTTCTCTAACTGATGTCAGTCAGCTCATGATGAAATCTTTCAATCAATCAATCAAACAAATGATTCCCCGAATTCCAACAAAATTAGTTGATGACACTTTTCATATCATGTATAGGTTACAATGGGGAATAGTTAAAAGTGATTTCAGAATTATAAAACTTTTTATTGAGAAATGAACAAAAAGATATCGTTTTATTGATTGATTTGTTTGTTGACTTATTATTATTATTATTATATTACAGTTATACCATTGATGATTCTGATGGTTGACTTTGTGGGAAGAAAAATTACCATGGCTATATGGAATGGACTTATATCTATCCTTTTCATGCTACTCTATCTGTGTATGCCTAAATTAGCCATGACAGCTTTGTTGTTTGTGTTGCGTGCACTCTCTGCCGGTTTATTCAGTCTTTCATATGTTTATACTACTGAGGTAAGTGTAGATGTGTTTGTTAAATATTATATATACACCTATACGAAGAAAATTTGTGCGTTGAAATTTCTGTAGCAATTTGGTTAAGTTTTAAAGGAAACGAGAAGACAGGAATATCCTGGACTGACGTGAAGAACCTAGAAGACCTGGATTTCGCGCGTGGATGATTTATGTTTGATGTCACACAAACAAAATCGAAGATTTACAAGCAAAAACCGACAAACTGGTCGAAGAAGCAGCCGGTGAAGACAATACTCCAGGTGAACACAGACAAGACATCCAACGCCAATCACCATCAACGGGAGGGATTCGAAAGAGGTTACTTCATTCACTCACTTATCTAAGGAGCATTTTCTTAACTACAGCCAGTCGGATCAGACAACGATGTCAAATCGAGCGAAAATCGAGTGGGGGCGAAAAACACATTCATCAACCCGAAACCAATCTGGAGATCTTCGTCACCCACTCAGCCAGCATCAACAACAAAATTCCGTCGGTCGGATTTTCAATACAAACAACGTCAAGTCAGTCAGTTCTTCTATATGGATCAGAAACTTGGCGAGTGGGTCACAAAGAATATTTCCAACAGCCTGTTGCATGCAGACGTTCATCAACAACTAACTGTGTTCGCTGGCTCTATACTGAAGATGAGATGGTTGGGCCGGAAAGAATCACCAACAAGAAACTTTAACTGGGAACAAACAAAGCAAGAACCAATCGCCAACCAACAAATATGCAGGAGAAAGTAGATTGAGATGGATCGGACACTCGCTGAGGAGGCCGCCGTTGGGTGACATCTCGGGCGCGTCAGGCCATTTGTCGAGTGGAACCAGGCCGAAATGGAAGCGGCGTATGGGTTATCAGTGCAAGGGTGACATGGAGGAGATCGTGTGAAGAGTTGAGGAGTTGAAAGAGTATGGACTGGCATGGATTCCGGTGAAAAGTACAGCAGAAAGAAGACAGAAGCAATTGGAGACGTGCAGTTGAAGCCCTATGTTCCACTAGGAACTCAAGGGAACAATAATAATAATTTGAACAAAATTAATATTTTTGCTGAATACTAGTAAGTGTTAGTCACCTGTAAATCACTAAAAGGCACAAATGATATCTCCCAGTTAGTTAGTGTGATCCACTCACTGTTTGATGTGTGTACCTTCATTTCTGAATGGATATCAGTTTCTATCACGAATAGCGAAAATTGTTTCAAGTCGAAATTCACAATTCGAAGCCTTTTAGTCTTTGCTGGCTGATTCTTATGCAGTGGAGAGTTTGGAAATTGTTTAAATTTCGGTTTTTTTGTATTGTGTTACCTTGCTTTCTTTTCTGAACAAGGTTTATCCTACCCAAGTTCGCTGGTTATCCTCTTATATCATCATACAGCGGAAACACATGTATTTGTTTAAACTTTTGCTCCTAGCAACGATTATATGTGGAATGAAATTTTCAGCATTTTTATATTGCAACAAATTTTTATCCTTCTACATATAAAATAAAAAGAAACCATTGCGTCGCTGATAATCGTCCTAATTGCGTTCGAGTAGTGGATCATGCAACAGACCATCTGTTGTCCTGGGTGATAGTCTAGGGAAGATCTGAACATTTGCGCATGAATTACGTCTTTATGCATGGCACAAAATCAAAGATTTGCTAGGGAAAATCAATAGGTTGGAGTGAAAGACAGTTAGAAGGGGGCTTCCGGTGAACATAGGGAAGGCAGAGATGATGAAGATGCCCGACTATCAAGAAAAGTACACTGATCACTATAAGTGAGAAACCTTTTCTTTCACTCATGTCGTCAGAATTGTCCGAAGTACAGGTGGCACAGAGATGATAAGAAAATGTGCAATATGTAGCCAAGATTGAGAAAAGCAAGAAAACTGTTCATTGCCGTGAAATCAGTTTTGGCATCAACAGCCACTGCATGGTATATAAGCAAAAAAATCTGAATTTTCAACACCTCAATGTCAAATCAGTCAGAGTTTCTTTTAATGCTTCAGAGACTTGACAAAAGGCATTTCCAATAGACTCTACAGACTTTCATCAATAGCTGCATACGTTTTATGTTGAAAATCAGATGGTCGGAAGGGATTGGTGACTAAGAAGTCTGAAAACGAACCATGCTAGAATCCTCATACCCATTAATTATGCAGCAAAAAATGCTAATGGATTGCGCATACACTGAAAAGACGGTTGATTGACATCACACACACACACACACACACTAGACCCTTGAGTAGGGGCACCTGAATAGGAAACAAGGTATTGCGTGTCTGGAGATGATATTGAGGAGTTAGTGTGAGAAAGAAATGAGTGCGCTTATGAGCAGTCATCGAGTTAGCTAAACAAACAAAAAAGACCGCAGAGAATATAACGAAATGACAGTGAACTGAATAATAACAACAATAATAATAATGGTAATAATAGACAATCTGTGGATCATAGTAACTAATTCAAGTGTAGTTATGTGTTGTATGTCTTCACGCTTTGTTGTCTGCTACCATCCACTATGATAACTCTCCTCAGATTTATAGGTAGCGTGAAAAGTGATGTTGCGTTGTTTTGAAAGATGCTCAACTAAATGTTGTGCTATCTGACAACATATCTGTTTGATCAAAAGAAAAGCAGAAAGGGTTATTGGAAACAGTATGTTTCAGAGGAGATGGTACGTTGGTAGTCCAAAGTTTAAGTAGCTCCTGTGGTTCGGTGTTGGGATGCTAACTAATTATGCAGGTGGTCCGGATTCGATTCCTGGGCAATGCACTCACCCCTCAACCACTGCTAACCCGTAGTAACCCCGTAAAGGCGTAATGTTAAACAGCAATATCACCATTCGTCCTGTTCTCTGAAGTCCTCTTCAGCTGACACCAGGATTGCTCATGATCTCTCGTCTCCTCCTAACAAATCTATGTCTTCCTCTGACTCCGAATTCGTCGTTTTCTGTTCGGCTTCCATTCGAGCTAGTACCTGGCCATCGATGTCATTAGATGGTCTCCTCAGTTTATGTGCAATCCATCTCCATTTTAATCTATCTATCTAAATTTTGTTCTCTATGTATGCTGAGTGAAGATTTCCGGACTGATTACGAAGCGATGAAGGTTTGCCTTGCCTTTTCGATTCCCATTTTAACGTCCTCATCCGTGCCGCCTGTAGTTATTTATGTCGCCATAAATTTACATTTAATTAAAACAACCTATCCAGTCTACATGTGGGCATTATGCCTTACTCTTTCGTTTTGTCTTCTGTCTAAGGTTTATCCAACAACTGTTCGAGCAGTAGCTGTCGGCACCTTTAGTTCAATTGCTAGACTAGGTGCTATGGTCACACCTTATGTAGCTCAAGTAATGATGCCGGAAGTGTCACAGATTGGCGCCTTGTGCTTGTATGCTTCTATAACTGCATTAGTCGCATTGCTGTCAATTTTCCTGCCAATAGAAACAAAAGGACGTCAGCTACCGGTTTGTTATCCCCTTTTTTTGTTTTGCTACTTACTTATTTTTTATGACATTCAATAGGTGAATTCTGTCATGAACACTGTTCACTTAATGCAGCCAATGAATTATTCATTAATTCACCTTATAATTAATTTATGGTTTATCAGTAGTAAATATTCCCCCATTCAAGGATGTTTCGCTAGTGAAAACTAGATGCGTACTGGACGAATGTATCGTTTTACAATTTTCCTAAAGGAGATCTATTTTGAATCATAAAGACACCAGTATCCGACACTGGTTGGTAGGATTCGAAGACGGTATTTTTTTATTTATTTATTTATTTTTTTGATTTACAGCTTGATTTCACACTGTATTTTTGGTACAAGTATGGAATTTTCAGCATGGATATCGGTAGCCCAAATTTTGCAGGCCGACCAAAGATATCAGGTGTGCGTCGGCGTGGGCTCGAACCCCGGACCATGTGCATGGTCGGCGAGAGTCCTAACCACTGTGCCACCGACGCACAGTGCCTCTGGCACCAGTATCCAGGTCACAGATTTCTATACAAATGACATATACACACTGAAATTGTAGCTGTAAGAAAAAAATATTTTAGAGTTTTGCTGGAGAAGATGAGAAGATTTGTAGTTGATACTGACCATACGCTTAACTATCTATGACAGTTAAAGTACCCAACTAATTTGAATGAACAATATCGGCCCATAAACTGAATTCATCATTCCGAAAGGTAGAAACAACCATATGCAGAAGTTATAAATGTATAAATCTCAACGTATTTGAAATAAATAATTCCAGTGCTACGTTCGACAAAAACTGATCTGATCTCATTCACCGAAATATCATTTTTATATATGTATACTATTCACTTGACGTCCAACTACTGTGGAACTATTCGGTTAAATCGTGATCAGAATGTTTGTATACAAGTAGAAGGAACCAGTTGGGAAGACGGGTGGGGGTGGAGAAAGTTTCTAAACAAAACGAGACAAGGATGAACAGTTAGTAAACTAAAGAAAAGATAAAGTGATTCTTAATCATTAAGAAGTAGGTATCCAGGGCATACAAAAAATTGATTTGAGGCCTAACACAGCCCGTTCATCAAAGAGGCGTCTGACTTTGTCGCATTAGCTAGTAATATGCCTGATAAACAGATGATAAGGTTGGGCGTCAGACTAGCAATGTTACCATTGCCACACCTCAAGCAAGCTTGAATCCCCGTGTTCCACTTGGAAGGCGAGCGAGTTAAATAATAATAATATCAAATAAATACTATTCACTTGGATAGTATCTTTTTTGGCTTGTGGAGATCATTTACATTTTTACTTAGATGTTTAATATATTAATAAATATTTTCGTTTCCTTCTTGCTGCACACTTCAGAGTTCCACTGTTTCAGTTACATCAGAGGAGACTCCATCTCTTCAAGTCGCTAAATAAATCACCTTCTTTTGGGTAGAAAACAAATGTGATCTTGGTGTTTCCTCAGTCGGTTCGGTGTGTTGCTGTTTTTTCTTCGTCTTCTTCATATTTCAAATGAATAGCATTCATGCTAATTTCAACTAGTGTGTCAAAAGATCTCATTCTCTTCTTTTCATAACTTTCTTACAATCTAAATATCAACAGAGATTTATCTATATGTTCCTTTCTTGTCACTCTTAACTACAAAGTGATATTTTTTTTAAAAAAAAAAACAACTGTGAAGTTGACCGTTCAAATAAATAATCTTAATTCTCGTTGTTTTGAATAAATTTTGTTCAATTGTGCCTGTTTTATTTTTGTCTGCTCAAAAATGGTTTCCTCTTAAAAAAAAAACTTGAATACAATGTTTAGCATTATTGTTCTTTACTGTTCTGCTTGGATGCGTTGAGTCTTGTTCCGTGCTATTGTTCTTGTTCATGCTGTTGTTGCTGCCTCTGTCTTGCTCCTTTTCTAATAATTGTGATTGTGAATCCTTAGACTGCATATTACTATGTGATCATCTTACTCTGGACCAACTGTTTATCCTCTTTTTTTTGTTTTTTCTTGTTTTTTTTATGGGTTTTCCTTTTGTATCATTGTCATATTTGTATTTTTTGTGTCTTTCTCTCTCTCTCTTTGTGTGTTCTTGCAATTCCCTTTGATGACCCATACAACAGAGATACCATGTTAACGACAGTAATAATAATAACGATGATGATGATAATAACAATAATAATATTTCTTGTGTTTTTGTAAAATAAAAATATTTCGATTTCCTTCTTACATACTTGTTACGAAATATTGTGAATTTTCTCATCATCTGAGCGGAAGTTCACTGAGATATACTTCTTCCAAGACCTAACGGTTTCTTTTATCTCTGTAATGCTTGGAGTGGACAACGTGAAGCTAGAGAGGTTGGAATTCACAGACCATTTGCGTTGAGTGCCACTACTGGCTAAAATCATCTATGAGCTTGCCCTGTAGCCAGAAGGTGTTGAGTTGCAATCCCCAGTAGGTACAGGGTACTCTGTTGATGAGTCCCAAAATAGAACGAAACAGCTGTCTAGCAGTACTCCCTGGCTTTGACTTGTCCTTTAACGGATATCGATCCGTCGTCAAGCTCAAAATGGAATCGTTATTTTAGTAGGGTATCGTTTTCATTGGTTGATGTAGATCTACCACATATGAAGCAATCAGTTCCCATGTATGAATTTCGAATAAAACCATGAGAAAAGGACTTAATTTCTGTGAAACGTGTAGTGTTTGTATGAGGCACACATTTCGAATATTCTGATCACACACGTACTTTCCATACGTATTCATGTAAAAGGTAACACAGAACAAAGGGTCAAAATTTTATCAATGCTTTTCAACCTGTTTACGAGTCACGATCACAGATAAGAAAAAGGAAGGTGAACATATTACTTAAAAAAAAGCCTTAGTTTTAAATCTCAAGTTCAAAGTAATAACTAATCATTTCTGAGCACCGTGAACAGGTTTATGGTTATGGCTTCAACAAATTGAAGCATATGACTCAAACTTGTTTTATGTATGCAGTTAAAGGCTATACACTGAAATCATGTTTATTACCCGTCTGTTGTTTGGCGTGCCTTGTGATGGATGAAGTTGGATTGACTGATTCAAACGATTTTATTTGTCCCTGGAGTCACTTATGAATCTGTCCTGTAACTCTGACCTCCAAAGATGTATGGATCCTCCCGATGTACGTGTGATCACACGTGGTAGATACAGTGTGATGTGATGCTATCTTTCGGGTGATATGAGGGTTAACAGGGCAACATAAATTTTGTTAGACACATAGTAAGTTCTGTTGAATTCCGCTCCGAGTCTTTGTTTGGTGATCACCCTTGGACGATAAAGATACATAAACATGCTTCTTCAGGAGCTGACTGGATTGGTAGAGCCTGGTGTTCGACGCTTCCAAAGCGACGAATGAATTTCAGAAGACAGTTATTACTGAATAATATTGTAGTGAGGTTTTGTATTTCCTCCCTAATGGTGTCCTCCCTATATATACACATATATATTTCAAGCATCTGAACAAGTAATTAACTAATGCCTTTTTGTGCTGAAGTGGAGAGAAACCATGGTAGTTTAGTTACTGTCTCGTCCAGGTGAACTTTCTGTGGACAGATCGTCTTATTGACCCATCCTTTTGGTGAGTTATGAGTACATCTAAAAATCGCGAGCAGTCGTTATTTTTATCCACATATGTTCATGATGTACTACTTTGTACTATATTCATCCAATTAAGAATTTTTATAACATCTGTCTCACCTTTATAATTGGAGAAATTCATATTCTGAAGGATGAAAAGTAAAACAATGCATCAGCTGATTTCCTAAGACTTACTGGTACCAGTTAATTTATGAAGTAATCGACTGAAAATTTTGATCGGCCTTTTTGTTGCTATGACAGTTTCATACTCCAGTGTGACTCGCATTTGTTTATACTCATTATCCGTTTATTTAACTTTAGGTCCAATGATATTGATAAATTTATAATCCTTACTGTATTAAAAAAAACTCCTTGTGCTGATTTCGCCCCATATACGTAGAAGCTAATATCCCATAGGAGATAAATTATTGGACATCTGACTCTGCAGGATATTCTTGTAGTGATAAACAACTAACGAGTGATCATTGAAGATTAAATGAAAGTTTGGATCCACTGGTCTGTTGATTACTAGCCTAAAGAACCTTTTGAGTAGTCTCTGCCTGATAGCCAGCGTAATCGACCTACCATTTAGAATTTCAGCATGAAACAGAATTTCTCATACTGGTTGGTCATTTTTAACTAGAACATACTTTTGTTTCCGCTAGTCGAGTTGTGATGTGCGTTTATCCTGAATTGGTCAGACATTCTAATTGGATTATAATTCTCCATCATTTGTTATGTTTACTTAAGAAAGTTTAAGATTGTAAACAAAATGCATAAAAATAAACGATGGATTGAAAGACTTATAATGTTTGGCTATTCACAGAGTAACACAAATTTTTGCAAAGAAACACTTCAGTTGAAGTTGACACCAGTATGAATAATTTCCACACTGTCGACCGCCTCTGACATCTTAATTAGTCAGATACATCATAATCTGGTGGCATTTCACGGTTTGACTATCATGGACTTCGTTACAGCACATTCCTACTGGAATTAGCATTGATCTCTCAAGGAAACAGAGGCTCCAAGTATGCGATGTGTAATTCGTTTTGTACAAAATCATAATCTATTCAGTTGACCTGTCCTTTTTACACGATATTTTAAAAGTCATTCTCGAAATTTGTTAGCAATGCATGTGAGGAGCAGTACAATGATATTTACGATTAAGGAGGTGTAATTATTTAACTTCACCTTGTAAAAAACGACCTCTGGTGCCAACTATACTTTTCTGCACAATATATGTATCTTGATTGGCAGCTGGATATTTCACCCAGTGTGAAACCTAGTGTATATTGACGAGTGTCGTGTGCGTCGGTGGCATAAAGGTCAGGACGCTCGCCGATCATGCACATGCACCCCGACCGACGAACTCCTTTACCTCGCTAAGCCAGAAATAATGCTGGTAAAGAGGAAAGGTTGGGCATTAGGCTAGAAACCCTATCCTGTAAAATTAAACACTGCTGTAGAAACTTCACGCCACTAGCTTGAAACCCTATGTTCCACGGGGAAAAGTGAAGGAAAAAATAGAAATATGTTGACGAATGTCATAGTGTCTGTTGATCATTAAGCTGCCTATAGATGTGTTCAATCACTGCATTTCTGATTTATGGACTTCAAATACCACTTCACATGCGGAAAATATATGTATGTAACATACACCCCATTTTTAAATGTTTGTACAACACTCTACATTTCGCAGGCATCCTCTCACCAGGGATGGATCAAGATTGTGTCTTCATATTCTGAGCGAACTACGCACTTTTCGAGGTGAAGGAAAACCTCCTGGAGGATTGGAATGTACATGTAATTCTTTTGAGTTGATTTCTGAGAAACAAATTTCATGGTAGGTCGTGAATTGTCCTACTCAGATGTAATTTTTTTGTCAACCATTAAACTTCATTCTTGGCTATGATCTTATTTGCACTCCTGTTTGTCTACCTAATCTTCCAAATGACACGTCTGCTTTACCAATATCCTGCAATAATAGCTTGCTGCAATATGATTGAAATCGATTCGACACATGAGATTTTTCAATCGACTCAAGAACATGGATACCGCGTAGCGGTTTGCTCTGCTTTCCTTTATGGTTGTAAGATATGGACACTGAAAGTGGAAGACCTGAAGAGGCTAACCATCTTTTATCACATGCACACACAGATGGTTGCGTTCTGCCTCCCAAGTTAATTGGTATATGCTGAGTTAAATTGGGGTTAAGCGTAAACGGTTAGATATGGAGGGCATTTAAATGGATGAAATTGTGAAGTTGCTTCGGTTACGTACGACAAGCCACTGCCCTTCTCGTCCAGCAATGTAATCTGACATAGGATGAGTTTGGAAAAGAGTGGTGATATAAAAAAAGTGGCATTAATCGATGAAGTCTTTGGCTGTTGATTCCAACCAACCACGTAGGAAGACATGGACTGCGTGGATGATTAGGGACCTCGAAATGATAATAACCTGTGTCCTGAGACTAATAATGATATGGCATAAATACATTCAATCCGTGTATGCTTTCAGATCCATTAAATTCCTTGTTTATCGATTTTACTGCTCCTTCCCGCGTACAATCCTGCTCTTCATAATTCTTTTGAATCTCTTTTCTCTCTCATGCTTCAGGTTAATTTACATTTATGTTATGTTATGATCAAGGAAATTTCAGATGTGTAGTAAAAGTCATTTGTTTTATTTTATAACATTTAGTTGGTTTACTTTTGTGTAAAAACAGCAACTGAAAATATTAACTTACTGAAAAGTAACCATGTTGAAACCTGTAATTACTTGATGTGTTTATCAGAACTTATCATTTCACTTTTAAAATCAAAACAGTATACCTTTCATCGCATTCACAGCTGTTAATTAATAATTTGAGTTGATTTATTTCGGTAAGTCATCAGTGGTATATCTGCTTTTAATTATCCAGTAGGCGATTAATCGATATGAATCATAAGATTGATGTCAAGACATCCTTGAAGGTTATTGATAAAAATGGTAAAAGGTGCCTATTGAAATACGCTTGAGCGTTAGGTATGCGTAAACTTAAGCCGCTCGCCCCGGTGTGTGCGAAGCCAATTTATTATTTCTTTAAACCTACCTCCTTCACTTATCTGACTAGGAAGCATCGTTTCGACTACAGGAATTCAGCACGGATGAAGATGTCAAAGCTGGCCAGTGAGAACCGTAAAGGCTCTCATCAAGGTGAAAGCAGTTTGGAAATCTTATGCACTCCGCCTCAGCATGAAGAACAATATTGGGATTTTCAACACCAATGTCAAGTCGGTCCCTATATATGGGTCAGAAACTTGGCGTCGATTTCACAAAAAGGAATTTACAACAGGCTGCAGACTTTTATTAACCACCACCCCGTTCTCTGGACGCATACTGAAGATCGAATCACCGGCTGGCCAGAAAGAATTAGCAACAAAAAGCTCTGGCTGTTAATAAACCAACGAAGAGCCGATCGCTCAGCAGATGTTTAAGAGTACATGGAGATGGATCAGGCATATATTGAGGAAACTGTTGAATGACATCACGCGCGCAATGCAGGCCATCAACTTGAGTGGAACCCCAATGCGAAGCGACAAGTGATTGTCCATGTGGGGTTGACAAGGAGATCGTGTGAGGAGGATATAAGAGGGGATTATGGGTGATCATGTGGATAGCCAGCTGAAGAGGATGGAAG